AATGTTAAAAGGAGTTCGGTCTTAGACCTGCTCTATTTCAAAAGTGTCCTGAGATAACTTCTGTTATGAATTGGCGCTATACAAATAAGATTGAATTGAATTTAATGGAATTGAACTACTATAATGTGGATTTGAATGTAGTACAGATTATCACCCAGTGATACCTGTTGCTGTCCTTCGCTCTGGATTCATGTTAATCTCTCTTCACTCATTACCTTTTTGCTCATGTCTTTTAAGAGCAGACCATAGGGCACAACTCAGACAGACAGTCCACCCTGAGAGAGAGCCGCAGCAGGACACAGGTCCTCAGCAAGGAGATTCATACGCTAAAGGAGGAGAAGGGCCGACAGGTAAACCTCTCACTAAAGACTGAAAAAATTCTGATGCAGAACAGGAACACATGGTGGATCAAGGCTATAGAACACAAAAATCCCAGGTTTTCAGGTCTGTTGGCTGGTCCACCATTCGGTCCAGACTGAAATAGATGGATAGATAGATAGTTAGATGGATTGCCATGACATTTTGTTAAGACATTTAGGGTCCTCACAGAATGAATTCTACTGACTTTGATGATCCTCTAACCTTTAAAATAACTGCAGAATTAATCACATTGTGCTTCATCAGCACTGTGTTTTGTGGTAATTATCTAATGACTAATTATATAATGTTGGCATGGTAATACAACATAAATATAATATAGTAAGTATAGTATAGTAGTATATATGCTAAACATGTTAGCATTGTCATTGTAAGAGCTCAAATCACCACTGTGCCTAGTTACACCCTCACCAAGCTGCTAACATGGCAGAAGACTCTTAGTCTTGTTTTTTTGTTTTGATTTTCTCAGACCGGCCCATTAGTCTTTATTAGAACTACTTTCTACTCGAGGCAGAATGTCAGTAGAAACTGTGCACAATGAGGTGTGTGATTTGTTAGTGAAGTCAAATATGTTCAGTTAGAATTGTGTGATCCATTAGAATGGATTCCAATAGTGATCAGTTTTCATGGTCCATGGTAATAACTATTAAAACAGCAAGAGAAATTTAAGCAAGATTTTGGGTGGAATATGACTTTCAATTATTTGTTAAAGGCAGAATGAGTAGCATTTGTTGTTGCGATTTGGAAACACAATTACGGCTGCCGCCTGAAATTTGATGATTCGAATCATCAATAGAGAAGACCCAAGTCTTAACACAGTGTAGAAACAGAGTAGAGTTATAATTTCTTTGTGAAATGAAGCCTTGGACTGTTTCTTCCTCTCTGCCATGACTTCTTCTTGTTGCAGATTTAGGATACATTTTGTTGCTAATGGCTGTGGTTGTTCCTCCTCTCTTTCAGTTCCTAAGCCTGATGGAAACTATAGACAGGCAGAGAGAGGAGATGGGACGCTCCAGCAGGTGAGTTGAGGTGTTAATGTGTACAGTCATTGGCCATAACCATATTTTTTAGCTGCGACCAGCAGCTCTACAGCTTGCTTCATTGGTTGGTCGGTCCACAAAAATGTCCCCAACCCTTGGGGGCCACAGTTTTTCCCTATAGCAGGCTGAATGGCATGTAGGTCAGCCTATCACAAAAAGATTGTGTGTATGAATGTATGAACACATGGAAGTATGTGGTTGCAGCTATTGTGAATTCACACTTGTTAAACTAAGAGGCACAACCACCACATCAGCCTTTAACCCGTTATATTTACACTGCAAAAGAAAAAACAGAGAGACAGTTGGGAGAAGAGTGAAAAGATATTTTCCATTAAGAAAAGCCTTCAGTG